TTTTAAACAGGGTATCCAGAAGTTGGCTAGCCAATACCTGAAGAGAGATTGGCCTGGAATAAAAGCTGATGATCGGAATGATTACAGGTAATTTACCAAGTGGTTATTTTTCTTATTTTCTTTAAAAAGTGCCCCTCTAACAGCTATCTCACATAGAGAATGTAACATTGTAATGTTTAAAAGAATTGTTCTTTGCTCTGCTATGTGTTTTTAAACATAATCTCAAAATTATGAATAATTTTATAGTCCATAATATATGTACATACTCTGTGAATTATGTCATTTTCATATATCTTAAGCCAAGGTTGTATATCATTTAGTTAATATTCACATATGGAATTTAAATAGGGTAGATGTCAATGGAACATTTTCTCAGTGACTAATAATAAAATACTTTATTACCATACTAGTGAAACAAGATTATAGTGAACTATCATGATTGATGATTCTTTACTTCTGAAATAAGTTCTAAATTTGGAAGAATGAGATTTGTAAGACTAAGGAAAAAGTTTCTAAGTAAGTGGATCTTAATGAAAAAGGCCTTCCTTTATTTTAGAAATAAAAAAATTGAGTGTCCAGAAGTTAGCTACTTATATCTCATATCCAAATATTAAAGAAGGTAGATGACAGTAAAATGTAAGTTGTGCCCCTAGTGACCTGTTAATAGCTTAAAATTGTTTTTGATTTTGTTTAAAATGGAACATCTTTTGATTAAAGTGCCTGCTTAGGCAGACGCAGGAATCAGGGTTAGATCCCAGGTGTGTGGTGCAGGCCCTGCCCCCAGGGTACACTGAGAATGTGATTGAGACTGGGCATGGTGGCACCTGCCTATAATCCCAGTAGTTGGAAGGCTGAAAACAGGAGGATCGCTATGAATCAGATCTGTGTAGTGAGACACTGTAAGGCCCTGTATTAAATGTATAAAAAAAGTAAAATAAAGTTGAATGTCTTTTTTGGGGTTTGGAAGCATTTATTATCTTTTGGGCTGAGAGTTGTCCTTCATGTTAGAGGACCCAGAAGTTGGCAGTCTGGTTGGAATTAAGACTAATACCTATAAAATAATAATCAAAGTATAAGGTAATTAAAATTCAATATTGAGGGCTGGCCAAATATCTCAGAAGATTAAAGCACCTGCAAGCAGGTATAGGGGGTGGGAGTTCAATCCCCGGGCCTGCCATGCCAGCCCTGCTCCTGGGGCGCACTGATACAGTAATAGAGACTGGGCATGGTGGCACGTGCCTGTAATCCCAGCCCTTGGGAGGCTGTAAACAGGTGGATCACTACAAGTCCATTCTAGTAGTGAGACCCTGAACACCCTGTAGATTCTTCCCTAAAAATACCCAAAAAACCCAACCAAACAAACAAAAAACCCTCAATATTGAAGTTGATGGTTTAGAGTTTGACTGTAAAATCAAGCTGCTGGATTATCAGAAAAGACTGACATCATTAGAGAATTTCTTAAGACTGTGACAGTGCTGCTAAAAAACTAAAGAAAGAAGCTTCTTTCAGGAGTTTGCAGGAGATAACCACTGTAAATAGTTACAGTGTAATAGTAGAAGTATACCCAGACCATTGCAGAAAACTAGGCTTGTAGATCTTAGTCCTTCTTAAGGAATATACAAGAGTTTGCCAGGAAAATAGCTTGGGAAAAGGAACTTTAAGCTGAGTTCACATCTTAAAGTCATGGATCATGATAAAATATGGCTAGTATAAAGTATGTGGCTTGGAGGGTACATAGAGTAGTGAATGTGGAGAATACATAGACTAGCATCATAAAAGACTTCACATATCATATTATAGTGTTTGTATTTGGAAAATGGATTAATTTATTATTGAAGAATTTCCAAGATTAGTGGTAGCAATCACAGCATGAAGAAGGTAGATTTAGAGTGATGTGAAGAATTCAGGAAGGATAAAATTTTAGGAATTTAGTCTTTCATCACATTTGAATCATTGCAGAAAAAATAAGGTGTAGGGGAAATATAAGAGACATTTAGGAAATCGAAGCTAGAAGACTTCAAGCTAATTTGGCAGGGTGGTTTTTTTTTTTTTTTTTTTTTTTTTTTTTTAGTTTCTTGAATTTGTTCTGAGATAGACTAGTAATTTTTTTTTTTGTATCTAAAGTAGCTCTTGGCAATAGAAAGCACTTGATAAATATTTACTGACTGAATGAGTGAAGTAGGAGAAAAGAAGGAAGAATTACACAATGACTCCTAGGTGTTTTTTAATTTAGCCAGATTAGAGAATGGTGGTACCATTCTGGAAAAAGACAATAGAAAGATCAGAATTAAGGATAAGAAGCTGGACATGGTGGTGTACTCCTGCTTTGCCAGGATGCAGGAGGCTGAGGGAGGATGATCACTGGGAGTTCAACCCAGCCTTGCTACATAGTGAGTTCACAGTCAACCTGAACTGCATAGCAAGACCCTGCCTCAAAACAGGAAAAAAAAAAAAAAAAAAAAAAATTAAGGATAAGAATACCAATTCCCTTTTTTGTTGTTGTTGTTTATTCAGTTTGTTTTTAGTCTTATGTTAAACTGCCTGTTAAATTTTTAAATTTGTATTTTTATTATTAGTTTAATTCAAGTAATATGCTTTTTTATGTATTAGTACAAGGTATCACTATGCAGCTTGGACTCGTAGTGATCCTCCTGTTTTCAGCCTCTCCAGCACTGATATTATAGGCCTGTGCCACCATGCCCAGTCTCAGTGGCCTAGTGTACCTGAAGGCAGGGCCAGTGCAGCATGTGATGCCAGGGATTGAACTCTGGTCCCTGTGCTTGCCTAAGCAGGCGCTTAGTCTGCTGAGCTATCTTGTTGACCCTGTAACATGCTTTTCATTAAGTAGGTAAATAACACAGAAGAGCATAAAGTGTATAAAATCCAGCCTCATTCTCTTTAAAGAGCCTCTTTCATTGCTTTTCTACTCCTTGGAGTGATTACTATAAAAACCATGTGGTTTTTTTCTTTGACATTTTTTCTTGTGTGATTCATTCATGAACATATGTAGTTTGGCTCTTTTTTTGTTTTTAAGCAGAACTGGAATTACTCTATACAAATGTATCTGTAAACTGCTTCCCTATGCCATGGAGTTTATTTTAGACAGCCTTTCAAAGCAATATATTTGTTCTTTTTAATGGCTTTTTTAGAGCCAAAATATGGATGAACTACAGTTTTATTAGCAATTTCCTTATTGGTATTTTGTCTGTTGTTATCACAAATAATGCTCCAATATATAATTTTTGTATGCATGTATGTGGTGGAGGTATGTATATATCTGTAAGGTAAATTCTTGGGGAAAATGCAGCGTAAAGGGTTTGTATATTGAAAATATTGATATTGGAACTTATCCTTTATAAGCTTTATATCACTGTACTTTACACTATCTAAAGTAATTTAAATTTACTCTCTCTCTCTCTTTCTCTCTCACTCTCTGTCTTTCTCTCTCCTCCTGCCTTCTTCCATCTCTGTCTCTTTCTGTCTCTTTCTGTCTCTCATCAGCAGTGAATGTGATCAATATTTTAAAGGCTTTATCTCATGATACATGCATCATTTAATGCCGTGAAATCACTCCCATTTCTGGAAACTTGACTTCTGCAGCAGTAGTTTCTTGTGTGCCTGCTTGTTTGTTTTTTGTTTTTTAATCTTTCTAAATGTTTCTCAAAGTTCTCTTGGCTCTCTAGTGACTTTTCTCAGTGACCTTAGCTATATTCCTGGCTTTTCTTTTGTCTATAAACTGACAGTAATCTTATTTTTATCATTAACTTTCAATTTGCAAAAGAATCAGCTCTGTCCATCTTCAGCTTTCTAGATCTCATCTTCTTGTATCTAGAATAAGTCTCAAGTCATCTCCTTATTTCTTTTTCACAATTCCATTTGTTACAGTGTAACAAACTGTCTTCATCTTTTATCATAGATATCTTTATGTCTTTATAAAATAGATCTGTTGCCACTCCGCTACTTAAAAGTCTTCTTTTGTTTATCCTTGCCACTAGGATGAAATTTAATTTCTTTTTATTATATTTAAAGCTGTGAAGAACTGTGGTTTCATATTACCTGCCTCTCTTCATCTCTGTCCATTTATCCTTTTTTTCCCTTGTTCCCCAACCATTGGGTGCCTCAGCTTCAGTACTTACATGAACTTTTGCTCCTGTAACACACTGAACTTTTTTCAAAGAGACAGCATATATCTCTGCCTAAATAAATGAATATTTATATCTAAACTAGTTAACTTGCTCTATTACAGAGATTAGTTTGTAAGACTCTTTGGTTGAAAAGTCTAGTTTTTCAAGTTTTTAAAATTTTGACTAGAATAGGGAACCAGGAAGGGTTTTTTTTTCCTTTTACACAGTCATCTGTTGACCCACAGCTAGCATTTTCTGTAACATATGGTCTCATACATTGTTATACTAGAAAGTCCATATGAACCCCAGAAGGGAAATCTGAGGAAATGAATATTATAATGCATCAAAATTTCACTGCCTCAGCTTTAAAAAAAATACAGTACCATTCATTGTTATAAGTTATAAAATATATGTATAACTACTAGAGGAGCATATTAGAATTGGCTAAGACAATTAGGAGAGGTTTAAAAAGGAAGTTGTCTAGAAAAAGCAAAGAGTGAATAATTCTTAGACTTTACCAAAGAGATTGCTGAGCATATGCACGGTGGTGCTGGCTCTTTCTTGGATTGATCCTAAGCACAGTGTGACACTGGCTAAGTATATTAGAGCAGAGATAGGTGCAGAGTGACAGTACAATAGATGCTGCTGCTGTTGTTGTTGTTGTTGTTGTTAGACAAGTTAGATTTCTCAAGCACATAAGTTCTTGTTCATGATAGATTTTTTTTTCCAGCCACATCAGTTTATATAACAGGACAATGTAATTGAAAGAAGATGAACTTTAGTATTTTCACCCTTCATCTTTATCTTGGTGCTGCTATATTCTTGTGACCTAATTATTTTCTAAGTCTCTGTGAACCTCATTTATTTTACCTGTAAAATAAAATACTGTAATGAATAAAATTTGATTTTCAAGATGATGACCTTGTTACAGTTAAAGTTTTACAGTTTTTGTGTTAGCTTTATCTCCATTATAATCTTTGTGTCCCTTTACACCATTATTAGGAATAGCCAATGAGTCAGAATTCACTATTGCTGAGTTATAGAGGAATAGAGTCTATTCTGTGCTTTTATGAATGCTGAAATGTTACCTTGTAAACCAGTTCAAATGTATTTATGTTTATACAGAAAATACTCGTTCTGTCAGTGCTAGACAGTGAAAAAAAAGTTATTCATTTTCTTTCTTTATCCTGTCTAATACTTTTCCATCCTTCTTAAAACTTAGGAGTATGTATCCTGTTTGGAAATCTTTTCTCGAGGGAACAATGCAAGTGGCCCAGTCTCGAATCAATATATGTGAAAACTATAAAAACTTCATTTCTGAGCCTGCAAGGACAGTGAGAAGTTTAAAAGAACAACAACTAAAAAGGGTATTGTGTTTATTTCTGTCCTTTTATTATATGTATTTTATTATCTCAGTGTTGCAGTTGTAATGTATAAGATGAGCTAAATTAAATATTTTAAAATTTTAAAAAATATCACAAGGTTTATTAAATATCATTTTACTCAAATTTCTCAATATGCTCCCTTTACTGTATTTTATTAGCTGAGGAAAGTGAGTGTAATTTGAATCTATAGAAATTGGTAAAGCTAGGGGCCGGGGAGATGGCTCAGTAGAATAAGCACTTCCCTGGCAAGTGCAAGGGCCTGAGTTCAATCCCCGGTTCTGCAAAAAAAAAAGAAAGAAATTGGTAAGGCTCAGTAAACACTTAAAAAATAGAGAACATCATGGTGAAAGCTTTAAAAATAGAAATATTAATGTTTTAGTAAATATCAATTACTTAGAAGTAATATTTCAAAAAAAAGAAATATTTCAGAAAACATCTAGTTTTGATTTTTTAATTGAATTTTCAGAAAAAAATTTAAAGACTATCTTCGTTTGCCAAATATGATTGAAGTATGAAATTAATATGCTAAGTGTATATGTGTATATATAAACTATTTAACCAGTATTCCTAGGCCAAGAATGTTTGTTGAGGCTCAACAATTTTCTTATCTGTAGATTAACTTGTTTTATGTTATAGCTAATAATACTGGTGTTCATAGCTGATTTTGTATGTGTGCAATGGTTGAATGCTAAATAAGTATTGGGCATAACTGTAAGGACACTAGGATTGCAAGTTGCGGGAAGTTACTTCAAACTGGCTTAAAGCCAGGGAGAGAACATTAACTTATACGACTGATTTCCAGAGCTCCAGTCATGGGCAGACCCAGAGGCTCATTGATAGTTTTAGAAATCAGTCTTTTCTTTTCTTCCGTCTATTAGCACTGTTTTCTTCAATGGCTTTCTTCTTTACCAACATTCTCTACGTTGTGGTCCTCAAAGTGCCAGATTTGTAAATTTCACACATAGCAGTTACAGACGTGAAAGTTTCTGTGAAACTACCAGAATTGTTGTGAAAAATGCCATTGTTTTTGCATTCCCACCAGCAGTTTGCGGAGATTCTAGTTTCTCTGTAACTTAACTAATATTTGTTGTTTTGGGGGGCTGGGGAATGGCTAAAATAATAGGCATCCTTTTAGGTGTGAGGTATTTCATTATGGTTATGATTTTCCTGATAGTAATGTTAGGTAATTTTTCTTCCATTATTAGTTTAATTTTATAATCCTGTATTTTTTATTACCTTACAGGTTTCAATGTTAGTTTGTTACATTACTTTGAATTATTTTTACTATTCCCCAAATCTTTTATATGTAATTTTTTATTATTTTATGTTTAAATTACATAATGATCACATCTATCATGGCGAATTTGTATATGCATAACCATCTTAATTTTTTTGTCTCCCCCCTACTCCAACCAATTCTTCTTCCTTTACCCACTTTCAAAAGCTAATTTTTTTTCTTTCCTTTAAATCCCTTTTTCCTTGTTTCCCTTTCCCTTCTTGTACCCCTTCCCATTTAAAAAAAAAAAAATTCTTCCTCCTTCCTAATATCTATACCCTTTTTTGCTTCTTTTTCATACTTTTGGTATCTTACACAAGAGAAGCAGTGTAATATTCAAACGTGTGTGTCTGTTTCTTCACTTAACACTATGGTCTTGCTGAGTGTGATGGCGCACACCTATAATCTTGAGGCAG